CAAAACACCCCTGACAGATAGCCATCCAGCCTCTGTTTAAAAGCCTCCAAAGAAGGAGCCTCCACCACACTCTGAGGCAGAGAGTTCCACTGCTGAACAGCTCTCACAGTCAGGAAATTCTTCCTTTTTAAATATTTTTTATTATTTTATCATAGTTCAGTACATTTGTTATACATTGTTTATTTTACAGTAGATTCATATTATTCAATACAATATATCATACTTTAACTTTTAGCATCTACTGTTATTTTTCTCCTTATACATATCTTCTATCTCTCACGACTGTGCTCCCCTCCCCCCTTCCCAAGCCACAGCTTTTACATATCATCTGTCCAAAATTTCAGTTCTTCTTGTGGAGATAACTTTCCTTCTTTATTTTTGAATCCTTTTTCAAACAAATAATACAAAATGGAAGGGCTGTAGAGGAGCATGAAAATTTGAAAGGAAAAACTAGTAAAGTATATAAGATAATAATTGAAATAAAAGAAGGAAAAACAAAAAACAACACCCTTAAGGAGGTCTGGGAAGAAGATTTAGGGATAAAAATAAATGAAACAGAGGGGCAACAATTATGGAGACAAAGACATCTAAAAGGCTAAACATGCCCAGCTCTTTAAGCTGCTCCTCATAGGTCTTGTTCTCTAGACCTTTGATCATTTTAGTCACCTTCCTCTGGACACGTTCTCAACATCTCCCTTCAATTGTAGTGCCCAAAATTGGACAGTGTTCCAGATGTACATAGTATTCCAGATGTTATAAGTTTGTTTTTTTCATGTCAGGAGCGACTTGAGAAACTGCAAGTCACTTCTGGTGTGAGAGAATTGGTTGCCTGCAAGGACGTTGCCCAGGGGACACCCAGATGTTTGATGTTTTACCATCCTTGTGGGAGGCTTCTCTCATGTCCCTGCATGGAGAGCTGGAGCTGACAGAGGGAGCTCATCCACGCTCTCCACAAATTTGAACCTCCAACCTGTCAGTCTTCAGTCCTGCTGACACAAGGGTTTAACCCATTGCGCCACCGGGGACTTCTATTATAATAAGTTACTGGGAAAGTTAGTGTGAATCCCCTGTAAGTACACATCAATGAAGCATGGTGATTTTATTTATTAAGTATTAATAGCATATGTTTCTTACATACAACTACTGTTGCTTTATGGTGAGCCCACAGGCAAGGAATATTCAGAGGTGGTTCGTCATTGCCTTCCTCTGAACATTGCCATCAGATTAAGAACCTTTTCACTGCAAGATCTGCTTGACAATGGAATAGATTGATGCATATGGTGGTGGATTTTCAATCTTTGGAGATCTTTCAGCAGAGGGATTGGAATGAATGTTGTGTGCTCCTGCATTGCAGAGGGTTGAACTATGATTCCAACAATGGTGTGTGGTACCCCAGCGAGAAAGACAGCAAGAGAAAACGAGCTTATTCCAAAGGTCACATAATAAGTTTCATGCTTCAGTAAGGAGTAGAACAATCTGCCCTTCCCAAGTCATGGCCCTACACTGTAACAATGAAATCCTAGTCTTAACGCCTCCTTTCTGATTGATTGCTGTTGCTTCGTGGAATGACATACCCGTTGCTACATCTCATTCACCTCTCAAACGCATGCATGATTGTTGTTGTCTTCTGCAAATATTGATTCCACTAACATCCTGCTTTTCCATATTTCGCAGACTTTATAAAATGTGTACAAATCAATAATGGACACTACCCAGTTTAACATATCAAATCTCATGTTCATGTACATGTTCTGCACATTGTAGTACATATGTATCCTATGGCTTTAGAGAGTATGGCCCCATATGAGTGTCTGTGCGGTGAACAAACTTTCCATCCTATATTCTTTTTGACTGGGCTCTTGAGATTTACCCCTTTCCCCATGGAAACTATGTATTTGGCTCCTACTGGAATAAAGTACTATTTGAAATTTGAATGAATCACCGTTCCCAATCTGCATCTTTGCAGAATATTTTGGGCGGAGGTATTGGGCTTACTTGATGGCCAACACATCTTCCCATTGCACATGCACAGTTGGAAGGAATATACCTGCCCAAAGGGGATGCAGATTGCACTGCAGGGCACCATATAATTTTGACAATATATAAATTTGACAAAATCATAGAATCCTAGAGTTGGAAGACACCATAAGAGACAGCCAGTCCAGCCTGGTATCTTACTGGAGTTTTCAGCTAGTATATAGAGAGGTGGGGGGGGGGGGGATAGAAAATATAAATTTGGTAGCAACTATACATATGCACAACAGCTGATTTTGTCCAATATCATGATATTTTAATATTGTTATAGTAGGGAAAGAAGTCATAGAATCCTAGAGTTGGAAGGGGCCCCAAGGGCCATCCAGTCCAACCCAGTTCCATCAGGCAGATACACGGAATCAAAGCACCTTTGACAGATGGCCATCCAACCTCTGCTTAAAAACCTCCAGAGAAGGAGACCCCACCACCCTGTGAGGAGACAGCCTATTTCACTGTGGGATGGCTTTTACTATCAGCCTGTGAGGAGACAGCCTATTCCACTGTGGGATGGCTTTTACTATCAAAATGTTATTCCTAATGTTTATGTGGGATCTCTTTTCCTGCCATTTGAATCCATTGCTCCATTGTGTCTTAGTCTCCAGAGCAGAAGAAAACAAGCTTGCCCCTTCCTCATTGCGACATCCTCTCCAGGGACCCGATGAGCTGCTGAACTTGCTGACCGAAAAGTAGGCGGTTTGAATCTAGGGAGCAAGGTGAGCTCCCACTGTTAGGCCCAGTTTCTGTCAACCTAGCAGTTCAAAAGCATGCAAGTGTGAGTAGATCAATAGGTACTGCTTCTGCAGGAAGGTAACAGCGCTCCATGCAGTCATGCCAGTCACATAACCTAGGAGGTGTCTACGGACAGCGCTGGCTCTTCAGATTAGAAAGGGAGATGAACACCACCCCCAGAGTTGGATATGACTAGACTTAATGTCTAGGGCATGGGATGAAAGTGCAGGTTCTCAACCTTCTTACTGCTGCAACCCTTAATACATTTCCTCATGTTGTAGTGACCCCCAACCATAAAATTATTCTCATTGCTACTTCATAACTGTAATTTTGCTATGTTATGAATCATAATGTAAATATCTGATATGCAGTACGTATTTTCATTCACTGGTTCAATTGCATTGCTGATGGAATTCAGAATACTCTTTGATTGTAGGTGAACTATAAATCCCAGCAACTACAACTCCTAAATGACCAGGAATATTTTTCCCCAAACTCCACCAGTGTTCACATTTGGGCATTTTGAGTATTCTTGCCAAGTTTGGTCCTGATCTATCATTGTTTGAGTTCACGGTGCTCCCTGGATATAGGTGAACTACAACTCCAAAACTCAAAGTCAGTGCCCACCAAACCCTTCCAGTATTTTTTGTTGGCCATTGGGAATGCTGTGTACCAAGTTTGGTTCAATTCCATTGTTGGTGGAGTTCAGAATACTCTTTGATTGTAGGTTAATTATAAATTCCAGAAATTACAACTCTTAAATGACAAAATCTGGACTACACCCAACCCCACCAGTATTCAAATTTGGGCGTATCAGATATTTCTGCCAAATTTAGTCCAGTGAATAGAAATACATCCTGCATATTAGATATTTACATTAAGATTCATAACAGTAGCCAAATTACAGTTATGAAGTAGGAATGGAAATAATCTTATGGTCGGGGATCACCACAACATGAGGAAGTATATTAAGGGGTTGCAGCATTAGGAAGGGTGAGAACTACTGAACTAGACTTTGATGTAAAAGAATTAAGAATTAAAGTATTATGAGGCAGGAAAAACGAAATGCAAAGATACAGAATGGGGGATACCTGGCTCAAGAGCAGTACGTGTGAAAAAGATCTTGGAGTCCTCGTGGACAACAAGTTAAACATGAGCCAACAATGTGATGTGGCGGCAAAAAAAGCCAATGGGATTTTGGCCTGCATCTATAGGAGCATAGTGTTTAGATCTAGGGAAGTAATGCTACCCCTCTATTATGCTCTGGTTAGACCACACCTGGAATATTGTGTCCAATTCTGGGCACCACAATTCAAGAGAGATATTGACAAGCTGGAATGTGTCCAGAGGAGGGCGACTAAAATGATCAAGGGTCTGGAGAACAAGCCCTATGAGGAGCGGCTTAAGGAGCTGGGCATGTTTAGCCTGAAGAAGAGAAGGATGAGAGGAGATATGATAGCCATGTATAAATATGTGAGAGGAAGCCACAGGGAGGAGGGAGCAAGCTTGTTTTCTGCTTCCCTGGAGACTAGGACGCGAACAATGGCTTCAAACTGCAAGAGAGGAGATTCCATCTGAACATGAGGAAGAACTTCCTGACTGTGAGAGCCGTTCAGCAGTGGAACTCTCTGCCCCGGAGTGTGGTGGAGGCTCCTTCTTTGGAAGCTTTTAAGCAGAGGCTGGATGGCCATTTGTAAGGGGTGATTTGAATGCAATATTCCTGCTTCTTGACAGAATGGGGTTGGACTGGATGGCCCAAGAGGTCTCTTCCAACTCTTGATTCTATGATTCTATGAAAGAAACTCGTCACATACAAAAATCCATCATGGTTATTGCAGTAGAATTCTCTCCCCCACCCCCACCCCTCTCTCTCTGAGGAATGAAAAAATGTTATGGTTGGAGGTCACCACAACATGAGGAACTGTATTATGGGGTCGCGGAATTAGGAAGTTTGGGAAGCAGTGATCTAGATGCTCCAGCCTAGACTGACATTGGCTTTGGTCCATGGGGCTGACGCTGCTAGAGCTCCCGCCCTGGGTGGCCCCAGCCCTTAGGGACGCCCTTGATGCAACGGGGAGGGGGCGACGAGACTGGCGCGTGGACTTGTTGCCGGAGCCCAAGGGCGGGCGCCTGTTGCACGGAGGACGCCCCTTGCAGCCCTTGCTCTGCCGAAGCGAGACTCGGGAGGGCTGTGTGGGCGTCCGGGGAGTGTCTCCCTCCTCCCCCTCTTCCTCCTCCCCCTCCCTTTCCCCTTCCTTCCCCGACGGCTGCCTCTCCTGGCTTCCCTTCGGCTCGGCGGGCCGTCTCGCCTGCCTCCTACCATGTCCGCGGCTCCCTCCCTTCCCAAAGAGCAGCAGCAGCAGCAGCAGCAGCCGAGCCCCCCTCCGCCTCCTCCGCCTCTGCCGCCCCCGCCGCCTTTGCCTGCGCCGGAGGAGAAGGAAGGGCGCGCCGTGCGTCTGCTGGGCTCCTGCCTCCCTTCTTCTTCCTCCCTTCTTCTTCCTCCCTTCTTCCCCTTCCTTCCTCCCTTCCTTCCCCCCAACGCTCCTCTTGCGAGTGAGTGGGTCTCTCCTCTGCCCGTCCAGCTCGTCTCTGTCTTGACTTGAACGGGGCAAGCTATGATCCTCAGCCTTTCTTGACTTCCTGGGCAGGCGGGCAAGTTTCTGGCGAACTTTCCTCGGTGCCAAGCCGTTTGGAGGCGTCCTGCGTCTTTGGAGGCGGGTTTAGCTGGCCCCTCCACCCACCCCCTCCTCGACCTCTCTTTCTAGTGTGAGCCTGGTTTCTCTTTTCCACCCTTGGAGCACGAGCCCCGGTTGGGGGGATTCTCTCCCTTCCTCCCGATTCATCCATGGCGCGATCTTGCCCCCTGGAGGCATCCCCAAGGCTCCTTCTCGCTTTGCTTCTGAACTGCCGGGCTGCTCCTGGCGATGGTTTCCATGCCATTGAGGCAGAGAACCTGCTCCGGATTTGACTCTGAACTTCGGAGCCGCTCTCCAAGGCACAGAGCCCTCGCTCCAGAGTAAGTACCTGCACCTTCACTGACTCCGGGTGGGTTACATTGTAGAATTAATGCAATTTGACACCACTTTAATTGCCATCAGGTCAAGGTAAAGGTTTTCCTCTGACCTTAAGTCCAGTTGTGTCGGACTCTGGGGGGTGGTGCTCATCTCCATGTCTAAGCCGAAGAGCCGGCGTTGTCCGTAGACAGCTCCAAGGTCATGTTTGCATGGAGCGCCGTTACCATCCCGCCCGAGCGGTACTGTTGATCTACTCACATTTTGCATGTTTTCGAACTGCTAGGTTGGCAGAAGCTGAGGCTGACAGCAGAATCCGCTCCCCGGATTCGAACCCGCAACCTTTCGATCAACAAGTTTAGCACCTCAATGGTTTAACCCACTGCACCACCGGGGGCTCCGTGATTGCCATGGTTCAGTGCTATTGGACTCAGAGTGTTGTTGTTTGAGCAGACCCTGTAAAACTACAACTCCCAGGATTCCATAGCATTCATCCTTGGCATTGAGTTCAGCGGCAATAATTCTACAAGGTAACTACACCCTTCTTTAAAATTTAGAGTAAAACCCAGAGCAGATGAACCATCAGAGTGACACCACTTTGAGAGGAGTCCTGCAATGTCCTTCTTGTTATTACTGTTATTGTTGCTGCTGTTTCCAACCAAGTCAATATGTGCTCTGGAAGGCTTTCATGGCCGGAATCACTAGGTTGCTGGGAATTTTCCGGGGTGTATGGCCATGTTCCAGAAGCATTCTCTCCTGATGTTTCACCCACATCTATGGCAGATTGGCAGGCATCCTCAGAGGTTGTGAGGTTTGCTAGAAACTGTGAGAGCTGTTCCTGACTGTGAGAGCTGTTCAGCAGTGGAACTCTCTGCCCCAGAGTGTGGTAGAGGCTCCTTCTTTGGAAGCTTTTAAATAGAGGCTGGATGGCCATCTGTTGGGGGTGCTTTGAATGCAATTTTCCTGCTTCTTGGCAGGGTCTCTTCCAACTCTATGATTCTGTATATCTGTGGAATGTCCAGGGTGGGAGAAAGATTTCTTGTCTGTTTGAGGCGAGTGTGAATGTTGCAATTGGCCACCTTGATTAGCATTGAATGGCCTTGCAGCTCCAAAGCCTGGTTGCTTTCTGTCTGGGGAAATTCTTTGTTGGGAGGCGTTAGCTGGCCCTTTTGATTCTTGTCTGGAATTTCCTTGTTTTTTTAGTGTTGCTCTTTATTTACTGTCCTGATTTTAGAGTTTTTTAAATAGTAGGTAAGCATTACTATTTAAAAAAAGAGATGGGAAAATTTATAATGATTGTTGGTTTTACTGATGGGTCTATGGACCATAATAAATTGTTGTTGTTGTAATACTGATAGCCAGATTTTGTTCATTTTCAAGTAAATATGCCTTGGATTTTAGAGCTGGTTTAATGCTACAGTAATCATTCCTTTAGTTTTTTTCTGTTTGGACCAGCCGCAAAGGATTTGTCCAAAGTTAGAGCTGGACGGGGACTCTTTGATGGAGCAGGAGGGCTTTGAAAAGATTGGATGATAATGTTGACATTTGCCTTAACTGAGTTGAACTGTGTGTCTATTTGCATATTTATTTATTTCTATAATGCCACAACTGTCTATAGCACAGTAAGACTCCAGAGTCCCCTTTATTTTCTCATGGCTTAAACTGACAAAATTGCATTGATCTGCTTTGCTTGACAAGGAAGATGAAGTGCTTTGAAATAACTGAACGACTGTCCCATTTGCCTGACTTTAGAGCTGTCCTGTCCTGTTTGCCTTCAAATGCTCGAACTATGATTGACTGGCGGCTCTATAGCACAGTGATGCACTTGACATGCTATTGACATCTGTTCTTGCTCCTCTGGTATTCTCCTTACTTCTTTAGAGAGTGTTTTCTCTCAGTTTGAGAAGTGTGGTGCATTGAAGAGAGTTTTCATCTTCCTCCAATTGTCCTTTACCTCAACAGTGGGGTGAATTAATTTTTACAGATTTGAAGCTTTATTCTAGTCAAGGTTTACCGTTAATTGTGACTTCACAACTTATTTCCATCACTGATGCATTTCAGTTGCCTCTGTTTAGTTCAGTATCTCTTGCAATAAGCATGCCCTTGAGTTGCTTCTCTTTTGATGTATCTGCAAGCAGATGCTTAAGGGCTTAACAATAGCTTTTGCAGAATACATTATATTTAAAATTAGTTTAAAGGGCATGTATATCTTGCTCCCCCCCCCCCCTCAGTTAAACCAGCGAGCTACTGAACTTGCTGACCAAAAGGTTAGTGGCTCAAATCTGGAGAGCGGGGTGAGCTCCCGCTGTTAGCCCCAGCTTCTGCCAACCGAGCAGTTTGAAAATATACAAATGTGAGTAAATCAATAGGTACCGCTTCTGTGAGAAGATAATGGTGTGCCATGCAGTCATGCTGGCCACATGACCTTGGAGGTGTCTATGGACAACGCCGGCCCTTCAGATTAGAAATAGAGATGAGCACCATCCCCCAAAGTCAAACTCAACTAGACTTAATGTTAGGGGAAACCTTTACTATATCTGCATATATGCACAGATACACATGCCCCTTCCTGTGTATACACATATACAGTACAATAGAGTCTCGCTTATCCAACATAAATGAGCTGGCAGAATGTTGGATAAGCAAAAATGTTGAATAATAAGGAGGGATGAAGATAAAGCCTGATTACATTATGATTTTACAAATTAAGCACCAAAACGTCATGTTTTCCAACAAGAGAGACTTTACTGTACATATTATTTGCCTCTTTCATATAATATCTGTCTATTGACACCTCCTTTCACCACTGTTTTGAGAGTTAATAGCTAAATAAATCTCCTTTAATTACAAAACAGTCTATAACTTCAGAAACAAAGTAGCATTCTTGCAAGACTGCTTCTGCATAATAATAGAGGTCATAATAGACTTTCTGCAAAGCTAAAACTTAGAGCGGCATTGAATTGATTTCTTTCCCCCAGGTATAGAATTGTTCAGTCGCAGTTAACAGCTGCATTATGCGATAACGAAGCCTCATTTTTATTTTCGCGATATGCCAATAATCTCAATGTGCTACAGCTTCCAGTTCTGTTTGATAAGGCAGTGTGAAAGTTTTGAGGTGACCTTGTCTACACAGAAATTAATCTGCCACATCAGAACTTGAAAGATGACTTTGGGAAGAGAAGGGAAAAATGATGTTCAAAGTGTCCTTCAGCCAGGGAGCAATCTACTGAACTTTCTCGGCCCCTGCTGATGTTTTCATAAAAAATATATTGAGTATCCCAATAAGCAGGACTGCATATGATGAGCCCTACTGAATTTGGTCAAAGTTTTGTCCAGAGAAGCAACCTGCATCCTATTGTGGCCAGTGGGGACCTTCAGTTTTGCTCCCCCAGAATATTGCCTTCAACTTAGAGGGCACATTTAGCTATCGCTACTGATAGCCATCAATAGAATTTTCCTCTAGTTGGAAAGGTCAGTCAGTAAAAGAACTGTAGGGTGCCTTAATTTCCGGTAGTAATGCTATCTTTTAGAAAGGCCACTGGTTATGTTGGGTCTTACACTGCAGAGGAAAAATAATGAGTGTGGAGGAGTTCCACCGCATCAGGAGTCTGTGCAGACTTTTTTACAGCTCGTTCTATTCAGCCCTACTAGTATGTTATTATTGCTCTCATCCAGGGAACAACTCTGAGATTGCCTGCACCACAAAATGGTAACAAACCCTTTTTCACAGGATCTCTGATGACATCAGAGATGCATTGCAGAAATCAAAATGCTGCAGAGGAAATTTGGAAGTGGCGGGGAGAGAACTGGGATGTTAACACTAAAGTTGCTGGTCCCCTTTCCTGTTTCCAGAAGGGCGGGTTTACCTGATCTGTTCAGCCTAACAAGGTCTTCGAGAATTCTTGCTAATAGGAAACCCATCATACAGCACCCAGAATTTGATTTGGTGTATTGAATAAGAATGAGAGGAAAACATCATTCATGTTACTATGCAAGCTTATACAGAAGTAAATCTAATTGCATTCATTGGGCCTTTACTCTCAAAAACATGTGCATTCATTTTATCCTTTATTAAATTTATTTTTCAGCTCAGTCACTCTTACTGTGGTTTTTGTATTTTTTTCTTCTTTTCTCTCTCTTATGAAGAGAGAACAGAAAAAACAGAGGACTATTCAGTTATATTTTGTCTCAATTTTTTATTCATGTCAGGAGTGATTTGAGAAACTGCAAGTTGCTTCTGGTGTGAGAGAATTGGCCGTCTGCAAGGATGTTGCCCGGGGATACCCAGAAGTTTTACCATCCTGTGGGAGGCTTCTCTCATGTCCCCACATGGAAAGCTGGAACTGACAGGCAGGAGCTCACCCTACTCCCCGGATTTGAACTGCTGACCTTTCGGACAGCAGTCCTGCTGGCACAAGAGTTTAATCCATTGCACTACCAGTGGCTTATTAATTAAACTAATATATCTGTCATCCTCTCCTAAGCATGTGCCCTTCGGATTTTTGGACTAGAAACTTTCATCACCTCACCCAGCATGCCCATTCTGGTTGGGAATGATGGGAATTATAAAAAAAAAAATAGAGAAAGAGGACATTGGATTGAAGAAAGTTGTTACGTATTATGTATCACATATCCGAAATGCTTCGGACCAAAATTGTTTTGGGTTTCAGTTTTTTCCCAGATTTTGGAATGCCTTTGTTTGGATATGCGTACATGAAATATCCTGGAGATGGGACTCAAATCTAAACATGAAATTTATTTTGGTTTCATATACATCTTACACACATAACCCAAAGGTAATTTTATACAATATTTTAAATAAGTTTGTGCAAGAAACAAAATTTATGTTCCTTGAACATCAGAAAGAAAAGGTGTCACTATCTCAGCCATCCATGTGTACAGTTTTAGATTTTGGAGTATCCCAAATTACAGAATTCCTGATGAGGGATGACCAGCCTGCATTTTTAAAATTGTTCTTTCTGCTAAAAATGGTACTGAAGGCAGT